GTACATGTAGGCCTATGTGTACTGTTTGTTAGGAGACTGGGTGACTGTAATACTATGGACTCACGAAATTTACACCCGTTCCATAATTAGACAGTGCAGTTTTTTTATTAACGTCATTATAAACACTGTTAAACATATTAAATCTAAAAGTCGAATATCTTTGGATATGGGGTAACCCATATCTATTCTTGTTTATTTCTGTTTTTCTTTGTCTTAATTCTGATAGGGATCGGTATTCATCTACCATTCTACTTTGGTTTTAAATCCTGTGAACGTCGACATTATTTTGACAGCTGAAAAGATGGTAATTGCTATAATACATGTTTATATATTTTAAACAAGGGTCATTATAGTCATGGGTTGAAAAAGATTGGTGATGATGTGAAGTAAGAGATAATTGAACCTTTAAAGTCCTTAACTATGACTTTTATTCGGGTATTGTAGCTATTCCACCTAAAAATTAAAAAGAAAACATTGTTAATATAATGATTATCAATGGGTCCTAAAGTGCAGTACTTAGTTGTAAATAGAAAGAATTTCATTGGTTATCCTTCCCATTGTTATTGAAATTACTTCTAATAACCTCTACCTAAAGTGGAAGTTGGCTCCAAAGGGCAGTAACTCAATCTCATTATTGAAGGAGTAAGTCTTATAATGAAAGATAACTCTTACTTCTTACCTTCTATAGTCTTTTTCTCAAATTGTAAATAATCTTCAGCTCTGATCTCTCTCTATTAACTGAAACTCACTGTCATTCTTCCAATCTGTATCATCCCAGTACACAACCTAAAATATCGTTTGTTTAGAGAATTATAATCCTGTTCTTATCAGCTCCTTAGTTTATGAAACAAGTATACAATGTAAAATATAATTCATAGATGTTATTAGCAATAAATAAGTGATGAAATAAATAAAGAATTTATAAGCATGGCTGATACAGTTATGAATATTATAACTTATATATATCTTACATAAATTTCAAATGAACATTTAGGTAATACACTTTACCATGCTTTACACTAAAATCATTAATATAAACAATATATGCACATTTTAAAACATGCACAAGACATAAACATATTACCGTTAATAATAAGACAGTGATGAATGCGACTGATGTATATTCAAATTGATGAATAAAATGGTGAAATAGTAAATTGAAAGAAAATGAAATCTTGTGACTTAATTTCTACACCTTGAAAAGAATTCAATAATATCCATTTTTACAATTCAAATAAATTATTTTACATTCAACCTTTTCAGTCATTGAAAGTTTCTGACTTTTTTGACCATTCCTAGTATTTTTGATAATAAAGCAAAGACTTTACTTTAATATATGAGTAACATGCTTCTTTCTTTTAATTTTGAATTGACTTCTAAAAGTTCCTTTTTTAAGTCATTTATGTATATATACTTCAGTCTTCTATCTTTTTGTGTGTTATATTGTGCATTGTGTGTAAACATTTTATTACCATCATAAATTCTTGGAAAATCTTCTTCTTTGCCCATGGCTTGTATTTTACATACCGGTATTTACTTTTATAATATAGATCCTTTTACATTGCTGTATTGTACTGTTTTATTATTCTCGGGTGATCACTAAGGCCATTTGGCCTCTTGTCAATTTTATTTAGAGGATATGCTTTAAAAATTTGTTATTAAGTGCCATGCAATTCTGCGAAACAGTGTAAAATTATCATTACTGAAGATATAATACTTGTATGCAGAATTTCTTTCCCTACCAAGTCATTTGCCTGCAAATTGGAAAAAATATTATAACTTTTTGAAACCAAATTATATCACATTTGTTGGTGATTGCTCTTTGGAGCCATTTTCCCTTACTGTCAGAGAAGACTACAGCTTGGTAGTTTTTTTTTTCCAGATGGTGCTGGTAAAGGCAGGTTTAAAAATTTTTTCTAAGTTTTGACTGAGTCATGATATCAAGTGGTCAGAGGAAGGTAAGAAAGCAAGATGATGGATGACGTCACGGAAGGATTTCATTAATGTGCACAAAAGTAATTGTTAACTCAATTTTTACCATAAATGCTGTGCAAAATGAAACACAAACAAAACAAAAATGAAGATTGACACACACAAAAATCAAAGACAATAAACTAAATTTAAAAGATGAAAAATCAACTAAAAATAAAAGACGAAGACAGTGATCACAGAAAATAAAAAAAATTAAATAAAAATATGATACATACAAAAGCAGTATAATGCTTTCTTGACAAAATATGCATTTACCTTCTATGGAAATTTCAGTCACTTTGTCACTCTGTAATTTTTCTCACAGTGTCACTGTAATTTGTAAACTTCTAAAATTAAAAGAAAAAAAATATAGTAACTTTAATATTCAGAAGTTCATTGTCCAATTGCCTCCTTTACATCCATATGTATGTAAAAATAAATGTTCTTGTGATTAGTCGAAAAAGAAATAGACTATATCAAGGCAGGTAATTCGATATTAAAGAAACATCCTGTGTTGACCAATCATCCTAATCTTTAAAGAATACGTGGGAAAATGTGCAATGCTAAAGGCAATATTTTACAGTTCAATAAAGATTAATAGCATTAAAAAATTCATTTAAAATGTTTACATCTGTGATATTTCTTCATGATGCCAAGGAATCAAAGAAATTAACAACGCAGCGACCTTCTCGTGCAAATATACTTTACTTGTTCTTCATCGATTTAAAATAAATAAACTGGTTTTAACATCTTTTTGACAAAGCACAAACTATATCCAAACACAAAAATACCTTACACATCACTGTCATCAACAACAAAGTCCATTAAATACTACTACCACGATTTAACTATAGGATCCTATATCCTTCCACAAATCGCATGTTTTACCCAGTGCTTCCGGTTGTTACTATTTTAAGATCAAAATGGCGTCAATTGGAATAGCTAGGTATTGTAGATAAAATAACACTGACTAAACAGGTCAATAAAAAATATGCAAAACTAGAAAAAAAAATATATATATATATATATAGAATAAAGCTGCCAACCTGCCTCGACTTTTAAAATAAGTTCAGATGAGAATCTAGCAATTTATTTATTATGGCCTTACCAGACAACATGTTTTTTTTTTTTTTTTTTTTTTTATTTTTTAAAATAAATCGGGATATAAATACGGGTTGGTCACGAGATTAAATTCCATAAAACCCAAAGGGCTTTATGTTGAATTTAATCTCGTACCAACCCGTATTTAAAGCCCGTAGTTCTTGTTAAAATGATACCTTATTACTTATATTTACATTTGTGACTTATTCATACTTTATATTTGCCTGATTTTGACTTTTAGTGTGAGGAATGCATTATTTTTTAAACTCAACGGCAAGTATGTAATCTACTCATCGCGTGTCAACCCTTTATGACGTCACTGAGAAATTACGTCAAACGATTATCCAAACGCACATCTCTGACCTCTTGACCCCGTACATGTATTTATACAGTTATAGATACGCATTCTTTTTCAGTAGTGTTATATGAAGGAAAACATTTGCAAATGTAAATATTTATATTTACTCACCATTTATACTGTGCATTTCCAAAAGAGAGATATTTAAAAAAATGATATGATAGGCCCCTCATCCCTTCACAGTTTGAATTTTTGAATGAAAATTGTTTATATATTGTCAGAAAGACGAATTAATTAATTAAATAATAATGTCAATTCAGAAATAGATTAATTTTTTCTATCTAGCCTTTTCAGTTTGTCGCCATTTTTATTGGTCAACCAAACGCTTCTTCCCTCGGAAAATCAGTCACTCCATTCATGTTTGAAAAAAAAGCCTATGTATGCAGGAAGGATTTTGGTGTAATGTCTCAAAATAGTTCTTTATATTTTGTGATTTAAGATTCAGGTTAACTAACTCAATATACATTGTTTTGCAGTTTGTATTGCTTGCATGAAAAAGGTTTGGAAAAAAATGCCTCAGGCAAATGGGAAATAGCCTGAGGGATCAATTTTGCCTGGGACGATGTGTTGGTTGCCACGGGCTTAGGTGTCGTTCGACCGGGATGTCTTTCTTGAATTGCCTAGCCCTATAATTCATTTTTATGTCGCTGTATATGTTCACCCACATTCATCATACTCTTTACATGTTTATGTGTCCCCAGAAAATCCAATGATATGTTATGCAATTTCCAACTTTTCACAAAAGAACATACAAAGAATTATAACTCGTTATTTATTTATTTATTACAACTTACAAACATTTAAACTACATTGATGAGGTAATATATCAGAATCATGGAGAAATAAAGCTGTTCTGATCACATTTTGTCCGTCGTAATTTTCAATGTATGCACCTTTCAAAAAAAGTAATAGTTCTGTTCGAGTATATGAACATGATCAATCAAAACATTTTAATAATGCCTTAATGGTCTAGAAATGAATGAATCAAATTGGGAGATAGATTATAGAAACAAAAGCATTATACATGTATGCAATTTATTTATAGATTGGGAATTTTACAAGTGGGGTCATTGGACATACCCCCACTTACCCTTTCTAAATATTTTGGGTTGCAGCCATTCCCAATAATTTATTCTTTTCAAATATCCTACACAAAGCACAAATTGTAAAGGACAACGATTGATGATGATTACATGTATCATTTACTCATTACTTTGATAATGATTTTTTATGAAAACCCCTTTGAAAAATATCTATCATAGGAATAATCAAATTTATATTGAAATTCCTCTATTTGTGAAATTACTTAAAAGTACAAGTAATATCACCACTAAATATGCAGTTCACATTGGATTTTATCAGAATCTAAAACTTTAAAAAACATAAATGCCCCAGTGTTTTAACAGCAATTGAGCAGTCTGGATATGCTTTTTATCATTTTCTTGCTGAGAATTCGATAACTCTCTGTGAAGTTTACTGACTTTAGTTTGTACTCTAAATTAGATGTCTTATATTGTTGGCTGAATGATCTGTCAACAGCTGTTAAACGTTTATATTTTAGATACTGAACCTCTTTACATTTTCCAAGCAACATTTGGACCAAGTCATCAGTTCCATACCTCTTGGCTGAAATTAAATAAAATGAACCATGAGACTTTCAAATGGCATGAAGAATGAAAGTTTTAAAAGGTATTTAAATGCTTAATATGGAGAAGAAAAACTGACCTATACGACTGCTCTGATTAACATTTTTTTCCCTCTTGCTGGTCTTTAAAAGTTGTTTTCTGCATTTCTTTGTTTCAGAATCTATTAATAATGCATGTTCATAGTCATCACATCATTGATATTTTCTTACATGACAGATATCATAGCCAAGTGCAAGGGAAGAATAATTTTGTGGGTTTTTTTTTCAACCAGTTCAAAGTCTATTACATGTATTAAACTAAGGCATTCTATTTATTATACCCCCGCAAACGAAGTTTAGGGGGGTATATTGGAATCACCATGTCCGTCTGTTCGTCCGTCTGTCCGTCAGTCTGTAGGCAATATTTTGTCCGGACCGTTTCTCAGAAACTGTTGGATGGATTTGTCTGAAAATTTATACACTTATTATACACCATATGAAGGTGTGCACCTGGTATTTTCATCATGATTGGATAATTTTTCTGCATTCTACAGGTGTTTTTTCTTTTTTATTTTGTGATTTTGTTTGGCTCATAACTAGAAAATTATTAGACTTATAATCATCAAACTTGGACAATTTATGCATCTTGGATAGAAGGATGTCATGACCTATTTTAAGGTCACTGTGACCTTTAATTTAAGTGATTTTTTTTAAAAACTAAGTCTTTAAAATTTTAACTTTCATAATCCTAAAAAATGTATAAATATAGTTGTATCCTTATTAAAAAATGCTAAATTAAGTAAAAACTTATTTTTTTCATCATATACTTTACAGCAAATTCTGTAACAAATGTTAATGTTTTTAGAGGAATTCAGTTTGTCCCATGGGCATAATTATCAGGCAATGGTCAAGGAGAATTCTGATAGCAGAAATGTGCATGTCAAATTAGAAGGAAATTAATGAGTTAATTCTCTGGAGTTAACTGGCAAGAGCATGTCTAGATCAGTGCAGTGTTATCTTAATTCATCTCTTGGGAGTTGGGCAAAAAGAAATGTCATTATAGTTGCTTGTGTTAATTAAGAGTTCTTGAAGGCTATGGTCCAGATAAAGATCTTTCAATTGGTGTCATTTAATTAAAACAAATTGATGTTTTAGTGTATGATTAAAACTGAATTAGTATTGTATAATATAACTAGAGCAAAGCTCGTTGCAAAGCAACGAGTAGGTCTTCCGTCCGGTTTTGACCGGAAGTGCCGGAAGTAATGTCAACAAAAGAAAGCAATGAGCTGAGTAGTCTCCAGTGACTTTATAATTTCAATTTTGCATCAAAACCTTCAAAATAAACTTTTTTGGCTACTTCCGGTTTGACCGGAAGTGACGTCGACGAACGGAAAATTAAGTATTTTGCTTCCAGTAACATATGTTACCCAAAAACATGTCAAAAACGGCCAAAATATGCTTTTTTTTTTACTACTTCCGGTTTGACCGGAAGTGACGTTATTTGACGACTTTCGACAATTCAGGTTTCATTTCCGGCTGACATCAAAGCCGAAAGAGCAGAAAAATCTCAAATTAAACCATTTTTTCTATTTCTTTTGATTCAAGAGAGAAAGTTAAATTTTTCGTCAACTTCCGGTATAAACCGGAAGTTCTTACAATTGATGCTTTTTGTTGACGATTGTGAATGTAAACATAAGTTCTGTTTGCCTTTATTCAAGACGGTTAAATTTTTCAAAAAATCTTGAAATTAAAAATCACTTCCTGTGTCGACCGGAAGTGACGGATGCCAAAGTAAAAGACGTAATACATATCATAAAGAGATGTTTTACCATCCCTGAAAATTTCGTTATTCAGTCTTGAGTGGTTTACAAGAAGATGCGTGGACAAAATGACGATTTAAAAAATGAAAATCGGACAAAAAATGCGACCGGAAGTGATTTTTTAAAATATGAAAAAAAGGTCTGGAGATATTACAAAAATGCATCATTCCTGAAAAAATCATTGAAATCGGTTCAGTAGTTTCCGAGAAATCTCGTGTACTATGAAAAGGGAAAAATAATAATAATAGGAAACATAAGAAAAACAGTAAGGTCTTCCGAAGGAAGTCGGAAGACCTTAATTAAAATTAATTATACATGTGTTCACTGAAAAAAAAAATTCAATTTTTATATATTTGCAACAAATTGCAGTCATGTCTCACTTAGAATTATAGTCTAAAGAAAAATCAATTGATTTTTTTTTATTAGACTGTAGCATATTTCCATTATTTCATATAATATGCAATAAACAATTTAAAGCTGCAGATGGATATTTGTTAAAAGCTCTAATACGATCAGTTTAGAATTATATGATGTATTATTTGTTTTAATTAATCCCTACACTGTAAGCCTCTTAGAGATGTATGTACAATATTTTAAACATGATAAGAAATGAAAATTAGATCATTGAAATCTGTGTCAATCAAGGTTACCTGATTTTCTTGCACACTAACCAATTTATGATTATTGAACAATATTTTACGGGTGTATCATGCTGTGGCAGGGCACTTTATTAGACAATAGTGAACACCTCTTACTAGATCCATAAAATATTTCTGAATTGGCACCTACTCTGAAAAACCCAGTGGGGGTATTTGTCCCTATTGGACAGTTCTAGTTAAAATTAAATTATATATCCGCTTGCATACTTGCAGCATTAACATTCAAATTCTATCAACCAATCAAATCGTCCCCTGCAAAATCATGAAAGAAGTCTAGAGTTGTTAGGAATTTGATCTCTGACATGACCTTCTAATGGGATATTATTTTAGCAAGCATGCAAGCAGATCTGACATCTATAAATTTAAATTGGATTTAAAACAGTCATGGACTAAAAATCACATCGATTTCTGTGTTAATTGTAATCATTTTTAATTTAATATCATTTATACATTTTATTAGGAAGTAAACTGTAATCCTATTTTACTGTATGTTCAATAGTTTTTGTTGTATACTAATGTGTCGTCCTGTAACCATGGTGACATGCTAATTTTTTTGTAAATGCAGAGATTTTTCCGTTTTGCTTACGTACCTGTATGTAAATTTTCCTCGCAAAATCTTTTTCGTTTTGAACTGATTAATGCTAAAAATATGAAATAAAGGGAATTAATTTATGAAATACAATGATTTCCAATTCATTTTGACAATAAAAAATACTTAAGCTGAATGTTAGGTATCATCTAAATAATCATAATAATAATATGTCTGTTTCTGTTTTAGATATATGTAAAAGTACCAATGTAATGGATCTCTTCTTTGGCTGATTGGTATCCTTTGATTGATGAAGTGAAGGTAATTGTATATTGACAGTAAGATAACAATGGAAACATTGTCTATTAATCATGTTAATTGAAATCGCTACTTATTTGCAATTATATTTATGATTTCCTAGTGCACAATGGAGATATATGTTAATTGCTAAAGAGGGAAAAATAACATAATGAAAGCTCATTAAGAAATGGAAGTATTGGACTTAATCCCATATTGAACCTTTTATCCAGATGATATGAGCTTTGCTAAGGCTTGGGGGGGGGGTGCATACAACTCATTGGATAAAAAAATAATATCCAACTACACATCATGTGGGATTCTATACTTATAATACAGCAAACAAATTGATTTCCCTTAATTGTGAAAACAAAATTTTAAATATCCTTTTATTGTAGACACTTGACATCAACTGGTGGTCAATATCCAGCATCTGCTTCCCAATACTACAAATACTACCTTCTGGTGCCTGATGACCACTTAGCCCTTCCTCATCCTGGTGCTGTTTGACCAGTGATTTCTTTAAGTCTCTATTACCTGTTGAATTCAGGTAAAGACTGTATTGGTAAAAGGTACAGGTTTTAATAAGTGTAAGATTTGCTATCTTCTTATTTGGTATTTATGACTGTTATTGCTGGTTTAAGAGTCCAAATTTGTGTTTGCGATCATTTTAAATCCGCATAAACAGTCTCAAATACCAAGTGAGAAAATTGTTATTTCCATTCTAATATTCCGCCAAATACTGTATTTACAATTTTGTATTACATGTAGCTGTTTAATTAATATTCTTTCTGAATAGTTGTATCATATCAGAACTTAGTTTGAATCTACAAAACAAAACAATCGCCTTCTCCATTTAAAACAGTAAGAGTTAGACAATCATCGATACACATGCTTGATTTTCTTTCCTAATCTGCTGTTTTGGCATTTTTCGCTTAGAACTTGCTTGAGGAAAATTTCTCTTAAAGACTGTGCATGTTTGACTGATTCGGCGTATGATACATCGTGTTTGATGTTACACTGCAGAATACAAGTTCTGTTTCACATAACCTTGATAACAGTTTCTAATTTTAAAAAAATATGTAAATAAATGAAATGGGCAAATATACGATTATTGCCTTGAAATCGAAATTTCTTTGAAAAAACACATTTTTAACGAATAACCGACTAAAGAAATTTTTGTCGATAGTTGGTATGATCAAATGATTGTGGAGTACGCGAATATTCGTTGAAATCCCTAGTTAAAAGCATGTTTTTCTATCAATTTAAAAATACTTTCACATCTGTTAATGCGCAATTGATGGCCTCTCAAGCATTTGTGCAGCAAATTGGTATTATAATACCCACCCTTAAGAAGATCAGGATTGAATTGTTGATTCACTGTTGCTTTGCATCTTTTCTTTGCTTTTAACATTTAAAAGAAAATTTTATAAATTATCTCATTTTTTTTTTGAAAGAGTAGACATGCAATCTCCTACAGAAATTCTCGTTTGTAGTTGGTTTGAAAGTTGTCCCATCTGAATCTGTACAGAAAAGTGTACAATGACTATAAATCTCTTTTTTTGATCCATGTCAGGATTTTTACATGGCATAGTACATTTTTTTAGACACGTACCATCATTTGGCAGCAGAGATTGAACATCATCACCATTATTGTCCTCCTCTTCCTGCTTCTGGCCATTTTCTCCATTTCCTATGAGAAGGTAAGTTGTAGAATATTTCAGTTTAAGATTTATGAAAAAATATTCAAATTTTGTAATTTTGAAATTCAATTTAAAATTTAAATTTTAAATTTTGAAATTTTAAATATCACAATGAAAGAAATTTGGAAAATATTTAATTCCCACCTGAATCTGTACAGAAAAAGTGTACAGTGGTTATGAAATGTTTTTTTTCATCATGTCAGAATTTTTACATGACATAATTCCTCCTTTTGTGATATCGACGCGAAAGCACGTCGGTGGAAAATGATATCGCACGACACTGCGTTCCGTTGCATTGAAGTTACGTAGAACGTGACGTCATAATATAAGAAGCGTGTTTTTAACCATTGTGACGTACTGACAGCCAAGTATGTTTAGTAAGGACTGTGTCAGTGCATTCACTTTGAGTGATTATATAATATAACTATTATGGACTTCAGTGAATGGTCGCTATCACTTTCTGTGTCTTCGGTCAATATCAATTGCCATGAATCCTTATAACCACATATTGACCTACACTGAAGTCCATAATTGTATAATATTCATGTGTATGATATGACACAATTTTTAAATGGTTAAAATTACAGTCTGAGATAAGTTTTCCAGTTTTAAAGTATTGTAATGCAGAAACCAGTTCAGTTCAGGCAAAAGGACAGTAATAAACTATTAAGTCAAATTAATTTTTTTTTAAATTCTGAAATTAATTTAATTTGTATAATATGTAGTTGCATGTGTCTTAATCTGGTTTGGTTTAAATAAACAAACATTAAGCCAAATAAATTAATCTTTAGTTTCTCAGGTCAAAATTTTCTAATTTCAAAGTGGAATATTTTTTAAAACTTTCTTGCAAGTATAAAAAGGGGAAAAACTCAATTTTTTCAATTCAAAAAATAGGAAATTGAATAAATAAATATAACCCTTTCAAAAAATTTTTAAAAATTGATAAATGTAGCAGTGTTTAAGATGATGTAGTCGTTCCTGAGAAACTAAAAGGAAGCTTTGTTGGCCTAATATTATTGGACATTGAAATATCTGAAGAGAAGACATAAATGTTGCGGGTAAACTAACCTGCTTAGGCCAACCAATCCAGCAATACTTTGTTTCCCAAAACCACGATTTCTGAAAGAAAAATATCCATTTGTAAACAGAGTAAAATTCGGTTATAAAGAAGTCACTGGGACCTGTGGAATTACTTTGCTATATCCGTAATTCGATATATCCATATAAGGAATTCATTAAATTTATATATAGCTTGGATCCAAAATAACTTCGCTATATCCGTGAATTTGCAGTAACGTGATGTTGGTACTAAACAAGTTCACAAGTTATTGGTACCACATATACTGTACATGTAAATTACATGAATATTCAGTTAATACTTACATCCCATAGTATGTAGAGTCCATAGAAAAACATGGTACAGTAGAAAATGAAATGGTAGCTAAAAACAAAACAAAAGAATTTATTATAAGATAAACAGAAAAAATATAAAAATAAATTTCTTTCATCTAAGGATTGTTTTTTTTTTATTAATTTAAAAAAAGCAAGAAACTGTAGATCATTAAATATTCATGAAATCTTAATTTTACGAGTTTGTCATTTGGCTTTTAATAGAGGGAATTAAATTTTAATGCCTATATAATCATGATACATGACCTGCAATTAATAGTTGAGACACTGTAGTATAAACATATAACTTGTGTATTACTAATTGAAAGTATTTTTTTTTAATTTGCTTTGCAATATGATTATTACTGTTTATCTCCTGACCAAATACCAAAGAAAGAAAGACATTTCATTGTTTACATCTATAACTGTAAATAAACTATTAATTTATACATTAGAGTGCAGAAAAAAAAAATATATATATATTTATATAAATATATATATATATTTATATGTGATCTGTGATTAGACTGATGAAAGATTCCACCTCTAAAAGAGTCTTTCAGTTAGACAAATGTCCCTTTGCCAAAAATCCCCCCCTCCTTCTTCATGTTACAAGACTTTTTACTGATGATTATAGTCTAACCCCGTGATAAGTCTAACCATGTGAGATGTACAATGAAATATAAAAACATAAACTGCCTTTTCTGGTGAAAACTTTTATTCTTTTTAAGTAAAAATGTTGTCAAATCCAAAATACTTTAATTTCAATCCAGCAAAATTAACTCGGTGGAATGAATCAGACAATTCTAAGGGTACGTTATGCTTACCTACACTCTGTGAACTTCTGCATGGTACTGGGACTGTCTTTCTTCGCCCGCTTCCTCAGCCAGTGATGAATCGACCTTTCTGATAACTCAATCTTTTTTGCAACTTCCTAATATCAAGAAAATTACCATAACATAGGATTTACCAAAAACATATCTCATCTCTGAAAAATTTATCTTAAGAAGGTATATGGGGAAATATTTTGCAAACAAAAAATTTCTGTCTTTCTATTGAGACCCCAAGATACAAATGCATTCCTATAACCATATGTATTCCCAAACTATATTAAAAAGTTACTTTGTAACAACGCAATTGAGCTATTTTGTAACATAGCTGAGTTATTGGTAACACAGCTGAGTTATTGGTTAAATAGCTGAGTTGTGCACTGTATACAGGGTTACTGTAGAAGTTTTTTTTTTCTGCGTCACAAATTTTCCGCGGAAATTTCTACAAGCGTACTTAATATAAATAATGCAAGGCATATAGAGACAGTCTGAGAAATCCGCACAATTTTCAACCCACGGATTAACCGGAAATTGAGGTTCCGCGGAATTATGACCCTGTGGAAAAAAGTATGTCTACAGTATGGGGATCCTCTACAAGCTGGGGAATATTATGGTTATTCCTAGATGAATGAGCAACGGAATTTGCCACTTCCTCAAGATTATCTGCAGTTGTTCCTCGCCATTTCACCTTCCAGAGCCCAAAATGCCAGTCGGGATGAAACTTTGTGTGGCCTGCCTCCATCAGAGAAAACTCAATGGTCATATGTCTGCCTGTCATAACTCGCCACATCCCATATCTACAAGACATTCTTTTAAAATAATATTCAAAAGAGACAAGATCTCTAAAGGCACTTCTAAAAGAACTTGATTATGAAACTAAACTAAAAAAACAGAGCAAATGAATTGACAATAATTTTCCAGTGTATTTTATTACATGTACCACATGAAAACATGGATGCATTTGACATGAAGACACCTATTGTATTAATTTTTGCAAAAACACCACCCGCACAAATGGTAGTTAATATATAGACAATTGGATTGGAATACATAACCAATAACAGTGTTTTTTTTATTTTGACCAGTGCAGTTGTCCATATGGAGTTGTAAATTCATTTCTCCAAAACCTTTATGTTGAAAATGGTGGTGAATCATACTGGCAACAGAGTTTGCCCCCTTTCCAGAATGCTGAGACTCATCAATCAAGTAAAATATCTGTGATCCTGCATTCTTTACTTATGATGTGAAGTTTGTAGGTTACAAATTATTTTCAAAGATTGTTATCTCAATAATCTCATGTTTTGACCTTGACAAATTATCATATAAAACTAAACGTATTACTCTAACCTGTTCTGTGAAGTTAGCATGAAGTCTATGGGATGATAGAAATATTCAAGATATTATTACATCACAGATTAGAGGACACTTGCATCTTTAGGGGCGTCCTATTGAGACCTATTAAATTCAAAATAGGACACACACATACACACAAAAAATGTATTTACAGTTCCAGGAAAGTAATAATTACACCAAAGCTAGCTTCTAAACATCTGTGTAATTTGTTAGGGTTGTAGAAAATAGAGGATCCTATGTATAAAAATCATACATAACAACTGTCTTCAATTTGAACTGGACGAATTAAAAGTTAAATGTAGATACTTTGAAGTCTGGGAATTAGTTTTTTGAAAATCTCATACTATCAGAAAATCACGATATCAATTCAAGGATTTGATAAGACCTCAGTTTGTTAAATGACTGCAATTTATCTATTGCTGTGTATGACAGGATATGAAAGATATGAAGTGGAGAGCTTTTGACCTTTTTTCCCCTTCATCATACGAGGGTTGTCCAAAAAGTTCGTGGACAATGACGTTTTTGTGAAAATAAATAGTTCTATATAAATCTGTTGTATATCAAAATATTTCTTATGAAAAAACAAATCAGAATGATTTAATTTTTATTGATGGAACATAATATTTTTTGAAAAATCGGAGTCTTTAGATGTCGCGGATAGTGCGCACGGACCAAGGTTAAAATGATGTAAACTCTGATATAAAGGGTTCGGATTAAGATGACTATTTTCTATATAAGACAAGTCAAAAATTAGTAAAACTTTTATGTAATACAAATAAGGAGGGTATAATCATTTTATGATGTCTTAAATATCGCTTACTATATAGACAACGAAAATACACAAAGAAAACCTTAACAAGTACGTGTCAAAACTCAACAGAAAAAGTGACGTCGTCCGTCGGCACGGGGCAGCCTCCGGTCAAAAAATTAAGTTTTATAACGGTTGAAACGATGTAAGAGACAAAATATTTGTTAAAACAACTCAAAATTATTGAAATATATTGAATGTATTGATTTGGGATTCGTATATACGATTTTGCAACAGTGTGTACAAATTCGAAGACACTACAAGAATTCCAAAACACATGTAATTAACTGTAAATGGAGATTTCTATTCCTGACGTTGTTATTTATCCAGCACAGTGTCGAAATACAATATATTTACATTTCCAGGAATAATTACATCAAATCTAGCATCTGAATATCTGTGTAATTTCTAAGGGGGGGGGGGGGGGTATAGAAATAAGATGCAAAATAAAAGGTTTAAATGTATACTTCTTATACATAACAACTGTCTTCAATATGAATTGGTAAAAATAAAAGTCACATTGAGATACTTTGAAGTTAGTGAGAATTAATTTTTAAATAGCTCATGCTATCAGCAAATCATGTTTTCAATACTTGATTTGACTAGATCTCAATTTGATAAATGGCTACATCTTATCCATAGTCAGTGTCTGACATTGAAAGATACAATCCTGGGTCCTTTCTTTGTCATCGTGTAAACCACAATCTATGATCGTACTGGTTAAATTTCGTTGGAAATCATATTTATGTGCTTCTGAAATCCTCCATCCACCTCCTGTTTTATTTTCTTGTTTCGGTTTTCCAAGAGATGATATTCTGTTAGTCTTTGCATAATCTGATAGTCTTTCACCATTCTGAGATTAGACATAGATCATTTCCATAAGCCCTCACTAGAGAATTATGGAAATTCAAAAAAATAATGTCTTAGTTGAAATCAAAAATAGTTATATAATATAAGCTTGAGGAAATTCTAAATATAGACAAAACGGGTACAAATACAAGGTGTAACATCAGATTTTGACTTTTCATATTAACCATGGGTAACACCTCCAGTAAAGAAAGGAGTAATGGAATGAGTAAAATTCAGTTTGGAAAGAGCGTTCTTTCAGAGTAAGATGTAGACAGAGGTATACCAGTTAAAATAAAAAAAAAAAGATGGCTCTATTGAGATCATTTCTCAACAAGAATATAACCAACTAGTGCTAATTGTAACGGGAACCGTTACAGATGTTCCCCAAACGCTTCCCAACTCTCTTCTCGTGCCATATTCTCTGTAAGTTTCATTAAAGAAGGCAAAATCTATGCATTTAAGACGTAAACAACGTTTTCAAAAAAAGTATACCAAGTATTTCAAATTTAAGCAATGCAGGTGTGCGCATGTGATTGCATGAGCGTCATGACGATATCATCTTGTCTACACTGTTTTACTCATTGCACGTGCACGCACGTGGATGATGACCATACCTTCTTGTAGGAGTCCATTATGTATGTCTATGTTCTTAATCCCATCCTGTTTGGTTGAAAAACAAGGGAGTCATAGCCATTTAAAGTTTAAGCCAATCAGATTGCAGCGCACGTGCATGCGCGTGTTTTCATGAAAATTATTATATCATATTGTAGGACATCTTAAAGTATGCCTATGTTTTAAATTTCAAAGCATTTTGTAAAAAAAACAGGAAAGATATTGATTTTTGTTTCAGCCAATCAGAGCAAAGTGCACGTGCACACACGTGCATGCATGTGAATGGTGACCATACCATCTTGTAGGAGTCCTTTATGTCTATCTATGTTTTAAATCCCATGCTGTTTGGTTGAAAACCAAGGGAGTTATAGTCATTTAAAGTTTTAGCCAATCAGATTGCAGCGCACGTGCATGCGCGTAATTTCATGAAAAATTTTATATATCATATTGTAGTACATCATAATGCATGTCTATGTTATAAATTTCAAAGCATTCAATCATAAAACAAAAAAGATATTAAGATTTCTGTTTCAGCCAATCAGAGCAAAGCGCACGTGCATGCGCGTGAGTTCATGAAAATTTGACCATGTCATCTAATCTACACAACTTATATATCTTTATAGAATGAGTTTCAAAACATTTTATCAAAAAATATAAAAGTTACAACCATATTAAATATATCAGTCATTTTACTCATTGCACGCGCCTGCACGTGCATGCGAATGCGAGCAAAATGACCTTCGTTTTAACACATCTACACAACATGCCTACTAACCCTAAAAAGGTTTTAACTTAGTTTGGTGAACAGTTTCTGAGAACACTTCCGGACAAAAAAGTACCGGAGAAGAAATAAGAAGAAAAAAGAATAATAACTAGGAGACTTATTGTTCACAGAACAATAAGAGGTCTTTCCACCTTTTTAAATTTCTTATAGTTTTATATTTTACTCTCTTAATTTGATTTTATGGGAAAATGGCTTAAAAGATAGTTAAAATTAAAAAAAATATATAATGACCTTGACCTTTGACCTTGATCAGATCTTTAAGGGCAAAGTTTAAGGGTCACATTCCAATTGACCCCATGTCTCTACTACTTATATTTTTAAAGTTATAAGATTTAATAGTAAGCACTTATGCGTTAAAGGGCAATAACTCATATAAGGGGTCATCAGATCCTTACGCAATGATACACTGAAGTTGTATCTTAAGACGCTTAAGATATTTGTGAAGGTTTCGTGCTTCTATGGTTTACAGTTTCGGAGGTGTAGCGATAGCAAGGTTTTTCACACAAGGGGCAATAACTTTAGAGAGGGTCAATGTTAGGGGACAATTGTTTTCAAAGTACATATCAATGATGTAAAGACATAAAGCATATCTTGAAAGACAAAAGAGATATAAGAAATGCTTAATTTCTCAGTTTTGGAATGACCTTGACCTTTGATCTTTGCATAATTTTCAAGATCAAAGGTCAACAAATCTTAAGCAGTTGGTCCCATGTCTCTACGACTTCTCGTTTTGAAAATTTTTAATTATTTGTAAAATTCAATAACTTCCAGGGGCAATAACTCATTGAAGGGGTCAACGAATACTTTTGCAATGAATCATTGGAGTGTCTACTAAATTAGTCGAAGACATTAGAGAAGGTTTCATTTCTCTACGGTTCATGGTTTCGGAGGAGTAGCGATAACAAGGTTTTTCGCAAAAGGGGCTATAACTTTAAAAAGGTTTAATGTTAAGGGACAAGAATGAAATCTTTGAAATAGTTTTAAAAGTACATATTAATGATGCATAAACATTAAGTATATGATGAAAGACAAAAGAGATATAAAAAGAGCTAAATTTCTCATTTTTGGAATGACCTTGACCTTTGAACTTTACATGAATTTAAAGGTCAAAGGTCAATTAATCTTATGCAGTTGGTCCCATATCTCTATCACTTCTCGTTTTAAAAATTTTTAATTTTTTCTAAAATTAAACAAGTTTCAGGGGAAATAACTCTTTGAACATCTCAATGAATACTTTCGCAATAAATCATGGGAGTGTCTACTAAATTAGTCGAAGACAATAGTGAAGGTTTCATTTCTCTATGGTTCATGGTTTCGGAGGAGTAGCGATAACAAGCTTTCTTGTGAAAGGGGTAATAACTCCGAAAGGGATCAAAGTTCATATACGCAGGGTCAACTGCGA